TCTCGGAGGGATAGTCAGACCAGACGAGACGAAAGGACTCGTATCGCGTCGCCGCCATGAGGCCGCCGCGTCGTTTTCGTCGTGCCCTGCGTCGGAATGGAGGCGGGGAAAAGCGCACTGCACTTTCGCCGCGTGTGCGTGCGTTTGTGTGTGTGTGTGTGTGTGTGTGTGTGTGTGTGTGTGTGTGTGTGTGTGTGTGTGTGTGTGTGTGTAGGTGTGTGTGTGTGTGTGTGTGTGTGTGTGTGTGTGTGTGTGTGTGTGTGTGTGTGCGCAGTATTTTCATCAGAAACTGCGCGCCGTCTCCCCTGAGCATGCATAGCAGCCAACACACAGTGTCGGTGCCAGTAGCCAGAGGCTGCAGCCTGCATGCAGGTGGGCACAGCAGCCGACTGATTCCGCACGAGGCTGTCTCTCTCGCACCCTTCCGGAGCACCCCACGAGAGTGAGAGAGAGACAGAAGAGCGACGAAAGCACTGTTCGGAATCGGCCCGCGGCGCGGGGTAGGCCCGGTACCTTGTCACGCCGGCGTGCGCGGCGTGCGCGGGAGAGCAGCAGACTGAGTCCGAGAGTCGTATTCGCCGCGCTGTCTCCGTCGCACCCACACGGGACGCCCCATGAGTGCGAGAGAGCCAGAGCGACGACAACGACTCTCGGGATGAGTCTGCTGCGTGGCGCGTGCATCATGCAGCTGGTGCAGCTGGCGCTGGTGCAGCTGGTGTGCGGCCAGAGGCAGGCCAGAGGCAGGCCGGTGCCCCCGCGGGTGGCGGCGGCGGGTTCACGGCGCGGCGCGACACATTCCCACTTTCACTGGCTCGGTCACATGCAGTGCCGCGTCGGCCGCGTCGGCCGCGTCCACGACGCCGCGGTGTGAATAAGTGGCCGTCGATCCCCCGCCGCGGCGCGCTGCATCACGGCCTCGCGGCCTCGCGGGGCGCCGCGTCGACGCGTGCCTCCTGTCACGCCGCCGCCGCGCGCCCCGCGATCTCACTCCCCGGCGGCGGTGCACCGCTGCACCACGGTGTCGTCGGCCTGCCCGTTCTAATTCGCTTCTTCCTCTCTCTGATTCCAGGTAAGGCTCGCGGGCGCCGCCACTGGCTGCCGTGGACGAGGTAGCCGCGCGTAAGTCACGAGTCGCGGCGTTATTCAAATTCCGGGTCGGTGCGCGCGTCGCCGCGTCGCCGCGTCGTGCGGCCGGACGGACAGAAGGACAGACACTGTCAGACAGACGGACATGCTGACGGGCCCTCGGCGACGACGGCCCTTGACGGACGCACTGACGTCGCGGACCGCTTGACGGACATTCCAGCGGGCGGCACGGCAGGACTAGCCGAGCCCGGGGCGACGCGGCGACGCGGCGACGGCCGGAGGGGCGGTGGAGGGTGGCCGGGCCGCCGCTAGTCCGAGAGTCCGAGTCCGCGGGGGAGCGGGAGTGGGGCTTTGATGGCGGGGAGGCGATGCGATATTCGGCCATCCGGCCGCGGCGACGACGGCCGGCCGATGCCAACTTGTCGATAACAGGGCGTCGCTGGGGCGTCGCGACGCTCGGCTGAGACAATGGGAAGCGCCGGGGAGGGGCGGCGGGGCGGCGGACGAGGGGGCGCGGCGGCCGCGGCTTATGACGGCCGGCTTATGCATTGTTGTCTCATTGCGGCACGACTTACGCTGCCGCCTCGCTGCCGCCTCGCTGCTGCTCGCTGCCCGGCCATGCGTCCAGCAGGACAAGACCACAGTCACGAGCAAGGAGGAAGCCTCCAAGCCTCTCAGCCGCCGGGGACGACGGGGAGGCCGGGGACACGGGACACGCGGGTGCAGCTTCGCCTGCTTCGCCGAACGTGTCCGACGGAGAGGGAGAGGAGGAGGGGGAGGGGCGGGGAGCGCAGCGCGGCCGGTCAAAGCCCTCGAAGGGCCGAGCGAGTGGCAAACGGATCTCCGGATCGCTGCGAGGTTCGAGGTTCCCTCACGGCGCAAAGAAGTGCACGATGGACGTCGCAGGGAGTAGGGACAGCATTCGAGCGTGTCGGCGTGGCCGAGGCGTGGCGAGCACAATGCACGACCCCAGCCTCGGGGTCCACAGTTCCACTGTCTCCACGGCACGGCCAACAGCCTGCGAGGTAGGCAGGCCCGTCGAGACGGCCTGTGGCGCGCCGGCCTACCTCGCAGGCTGACGGAGCGACAGAGAGAGAAGCGCGCGGGCCGGCGGGATTCGCAAGCGCCTGCTTGCTTCGCAGAACTGTGTCTGCCCGCCTGTGGCCCGTGGGATCGTTTAGCGGAACAAGCGCACATGTCCATTAAATTTTGCCGCGCGCTGCGCGCTGTACGCCAGCCCCGCCAGCCCCTGCTGCATACGGCTGTGTTCGGCCGGGCCAGGCCGGCCGGCCAAGGCGCGGCTCGCCACGGCCCGGCCAGGCTCGTACCGCTCATAGCAACGCGGCTTGCATTAAGCGTGTGTGTCGCCTCCATCATGTATTATTCCAAGTGAGTTTATGTCCGGGGGGGGGGCTGCAGTGCAGGCTGAGGGCCTCGAGGGCCCGGTGCCTTGCGAAGGCAGGCGCGGCCCCGCCATGGCCCCGCCGACGCTAGTCCTGCCGGAAAGCACGCGCGTGCGTTGGAACAACTGGAACAACTGGAACGGCAACAGCGAGTCGCCGCCCCGATCACCTCGCGTGCCCTTTCCGCGCCGCGCTCCGCGGCGTTGCGGCTATACTGCGTTACGGCGCCGCGACACGTCGATGGCGGGGCGGGGCGGGGCGGGGGCGGGGCGGGGGGCGGGGCGGGGCGGGGGGGCGGGGCGGGGCGGGCGAGGCGGGGGGGCGGGGCGAGGCGGGCGAGGCGGGACCGCGTAGTGCAAATGCGAGGCAAAACGCAATCCGAGTCAGGACGTGAGCGCACATTGGTTTTGCTGGCCTTTCCCGATGGTGGCCGCCCCGACCGGCCCCGACGTGGACGTGGACGTCGTCCTCGGCGCCGTCCGTGACATTCCGGTTATGACGACGGCCGCGCCGTTCTCACGGTGGTGCCGCGCGGCGCGGTCGCTCGGTCGGTCAATAAGCGGCGAAGGGAGATTGCCGCTCCGCGCTCCGCCTCCAAGTTCCTCCCTATCGTGCCCAGCCACCTGTTCACATGGTCGTCACGGGCCGGGCGGCGCGGGGCGGTGTGGGGCGGCGGCAGGCCCTCGTGAAAATGACGAGGCGCCGCCGCGTCCAGCCGCCGCTCATTCCGAGAGTCGTTTCCATCGCTCTGTCTCTCTCGCACTCATGGGGCGACCCGTCTGGGCGCGAGAGAGACAGAGCGACGAAAACGACTCTCGGAATGAGTCTGCTGCGTCCAGCCCAGCCGTGACGTGCTGCTCCTTGAACAAACAGATGATGATGGACTACCCACTGCACGGCCGCGGCACGGCCGCGCCTCATTACAGCAATAGCGTGGCGCGGCGTCAAGCCCTGCTTGGCCTGCTTGGCCCGGGCCTGATTAGTGAGAGGGATTGCGTAGTGACACACACACACACACACACACACACACACACACACACACACACACACACACACAGAGAGAGAGAGAGAGAGAGAGAGAGAGAGAGAGAGCTTTACCTGATAAAAAGGCCGGAAGCCAATCCTGTATGTGTGTGTTTGTGTATTTAGCTGGCGGTAGAGGGGAGGGTGTGTATGTGTGCGTGTCTTAGTGAGTTTGGCCCGATCCGCGCCGCGCCGCCGCGCGCCACTCATAGGCCGGACAAAAACGACTGGCGATGTGAGAGAGAGGGGGACAATGGGCATGAACGAGGCCTGGCCGGTGGGACCGGAGGGGACCGGAGGCCGGTCTGCCCTGCCGCTGCCGGAGCCCTTTCCGTGTTGTTTCTTCGTCCTGTGGGAACCGAGGCTAGCATCGCGTGGCCGAAGAAGCCGAACCTAAACGGGCGGCCTTGACCTCACCGTGCCGCCATGCCGTGCCGCCATGCCCGTCGCCCCGTCCCCGTCCCCAGCGTGTCCTTCGATTGGCTCGGCGCGCTCGGAGAGCTTGGAGAGCTTGGAGAGCTTGGAGTACGTCGGGCCCGGCCGGGCAGGCCGAGCCCTGCAGAGCGATTCCGAGCGTCGTTTCGCCGCTCTGCCTCTCTCGCACCCCTACGGCACGGCCCATGAGTGCGAAAGAGACAGCGCCGTTCGGAGTAAGCGTGGCGTCGTCGCGTGGGAGCTGGGAGCGTGGAGCTGGGAGCGTGGAGCTGGGAGCGTGGAGCTGGGAGCGTGGAGCTGGGAGCGTGGAGCTGGGAGCGTGGAGCTGGGAGCGTGGAGCTGGGAGCGTGGAGCTGGGAGCGTGGAGCTGGGAGCGTGGAGCTGGGAGCGTGGAGCTGGGAGCGTGGAGCTGGGAGCGTGGAGCTGGGAGCGTGGAGCTGGGAGCGTGGAGCTGGGAGCGTGGAGCTGGGAGCGTGGAGCTGGGAGCGTGGAGCTGGGAGCGTGGAGCTGGGAGCGTGGAGCTGGGAGCGTGGAGCTGGGAGCGTGGAGCGGGTGGAGAGCGACCGCGCCCCGACCGTGGATGTGTACATACTCCTGCTTGAGGTTGGACCTTCGGACTGCATGACGTACTGCACACACTCTGGGTGACAGACTGCATGACTTGTGGACACAGTGTTGTTGTTTGTGTATTTGGACATTTGTTCTGTTTATAGTAGATTTTGTTGTGACCTGGGTAAACGGCTATAATTCTAGACGACTTCACGTTTGACTCAATCAAAAGAATTTTGAAATGAAACTCACCTTTCTGTTGCAAGTTTCCGATTCCGTGGTCATGCAATCCCACCGACAGGGCGGCTGACTGCATGATTACGGAATCGAGCAGAGGACACTCATTTTCTGAGCTGGTCTCGCATCCACCCTGAAGTCGTCTACTTGCATCCCTTTTACTGAACTACTACTTTGGCTTAGTCTGGTGGCCCTCCAGCCCAGGGTGCGCCACCGCGGTGTTAAGGTTGACATGGTGATGCTAAGGGTGTTTGTGGTGGTGTGCAGGCGGGGTGCACGGCGCTGCAGAGGGCGGCGGCGGAGGGGCACTTGGACCTGGTGAAGCAGCTCATAAAGCACAAGGCCGATGTCAACATGCAGGACAACGGGGTAAGTAGCCTTCCAAACTCACTTCCTGTACATAAAAATGGCTCCGTGACGTCACTTCTAGACTGCAGTCCTCGGCGTGCCTCGGCGTCGTCACGATGTGTCGTGTCGCTTCGGGCACACGAGGAAGGGGGCCGGGCCGGCGGGCCGGCGACGCCAAGTGCAATGCACGTGCAGTGCACCAGCACCGTAGCATAATTTCATTTCGCCTTGTGTAAAAACTTGTAGTGCAATCCTACCCCGCTTAAAAAAGATATGCAGTTCCTCCTTGGATTCGGCCCGTCCTGTGTCAACGGCAAAAACAACGTGCCTTTCTTTCACCGCCGATGGCGCTGCAGGGCAGGTTCATGGTTCGAGTCCCGTCGTCTGCTTCCCATGTAGCTCCGTGTGTGCATGACCCGGGGAGGCCGCGGGTTGAGGCACGGTGCTCTGCCTGCCCTGCCTGTTGACTGATTCAGGACAATGCCTCGTCGCTCTGTCTCTCTCGCGCCCCTTCGGGACTCCCTACGAGTGCGAGAGAGACAGAGCGACGAAGCTCTGCTGGGAGTCAGCCTCTCGAGACGCACAGGGCGATTGAATCAAGATTGAGTTGCGGTAATCTCCCTTGTACTCATCCCGGGGCACTCATTCATTTGGCCTCGCAGCTGTTGCGGTCGGCACGGCCTGGCTGCGCTGGGCTGCGCTGGGCTGCGCGCTGCGCCGTGTTTCTGCCATCCCCGTCCCCCACGTCCTCGCGCTCGCCGTCGTCCTCCTCCACCGCATCCAGAGGCGGCCGAGGCGGCCGAGGCAGCCCCCGCGAGCTCGCACTGAATGCGGCTGATGCGGTATCGGCTTGGCCTCGGCTTGCTCGCGTTGCTAATGCCTCGGCTAATGCACCGATTGCCTTTGCCCGCAGCCCGGCAACACGGCGCTCCACGAGGCGTCCTGGAAGGGCTTCTCGCGGTGCGTGCAGGCGCTGTGCGGCGTCCGCGGCGCCGACCTGTCCCTGCGGAACCACGCGGGCTTCGCGCCGCTGCACCTCGCCTGCCAGAACGGCCACAACCAGAGCTGCCGCGAGCTGCTGCTGGCCGGCTGCGACCCGGACGTCAGGAACAACGTGAGTGCAGTGTCCCTCCTCACTTCGGACAGTGGGCCAGAAGACCGGCGCAGGCGGACAAAACTCTAGGCGCGTTTTGAGCTCCAGAGTCGCTAAACAAGACTCGAACCGAACGTGTGACCCCACCAATGGATTCCTCTTCGAACGAGGAATCCATTGGTGGGGTCACACGTTCGGTTCGAGTCTTGTTTAGCGATTCTGGAGCTCAAAACGCGTCTAGAGCTTTGTCCGCTTCCACCGGTCTTCTGGCCCACTGTGCTTCTTCGCCGAGGTCGAGGGCGGAGGCGGCAGTGGTGTGCATTCGGAGAAACGAAATTGGAATCTGTTGCAGTACGGTGACACGCCGCTGCACACGAGCGCGCGCTACGGCCACGCCGGCGTCACGAGGATCCTGGTGAGCGCCGAGTGCAAGGTGTCGGAGCAGAACAAGGTTCGTAGCGCACTTGGCTTTCTTCAACACTGAAGGTGTCCGCATCTAACTATCACTTGTTTTTGTGTAGAACGGCGACACTGCTTTGCACATCGCGGCCGCCATGGGCAGAAGGAAGCTGACGAGGATTCTGCTGGAGGCGGGCTGCACCAAGAGCCTCAGGAACAAGGTACGGCGGCGCGTCCACAAAAAGTGTTCTCGAGGACTGTGTACAGACTGTTGGTCCTAACGTCGACATTGTTTGCTGCAGCAAGGGGAGACGGCGCGCGACATCGCGACCCGCAAGGAACTCACCGAGATCCTCACTATCTTGAACAACCCCGTGATCCCTATGCCGAGGCACAAGGACGCTAGCAAGGAGATCACCAGCAGCAGCAACAACAATAACAACAACAGTAAAAAGAAGGTGGGTGTCTCGGAAGAGGGACTTCGAGGTGCACCAGCACGATGGGTTGCCTACTTGCCGGCGCCGCCATCTGGGAAAACATGACAATCTGGCCGAGCGGCACTCCTGTCGCGGCACATCATGAATGCATTTCCGCGTCCAGAGGCAAAGGCACACTCGGCGTGTTATTTGAGTCTGCTTTGTTTGATTGACTTTGAATGGCGTCCTGTAAATGTTGCAGAAGAAGGCGGGGCGATCGGGTCGAGGCTCCGGGTCGCGCTCGGGTTCGCGCTCCGGGACTGCCAACGGTCCGGCCGCGGCGGGCGGCGCGGCTGCAGGCGCGGGGCCTCCTCGTGCTGCTGCAGGGGCAGCGGGCGGCACCGGGTGGTCGCCGTACGGCTGCCACTACTACCCCGACACGACGTCCTTCCCGCAGCCGCGCCTCGACTCGCTGCCGCCCGAGCCGCTGCGCAAGGGCGAGCAGTACTACTTGGACCTGGCGGGCAACATCCGCAAGGGCCCCGTGGGCGTCGGCTACACGTGCTACTGCGCGCCCTTCTTCCGGCACATGGAGCAGCGCCTGGACCGCGACAAGCAGGACCTCAAGCGGCACATCAACCAGGCCGTGGAGGGGCTGGAGCGGCGCACGCAGGGACACATCTCGCAGCTGACGCGGTCCCTGGCGGCGGAGCGCGCGCGCTGCTCGCAGCGACACCTCCACCTCCAGCAGTGGCTGCGCGGGGTCGGGGCGCGGGGCGGCGCCGCGGCCGACGCCGTGCTCGGCGGGGGCGTGCCGCGGGCGCGCAGCGTCGACTCGCTGCTGGAGCGGCCGCTGCACCACGAGGCGGCCCTGCTCGAGGAGGGCCAGGCCGTCCTCGACGTCGGCGACGAGATGGAGGTGCTGTCCGAGGGCGACAACACGGCGCGCCGGAAGGAGAGCTTCTTGCGGCGCGGCGGCCGCGGCAAGATGCCGCGCCTGCGTCCCGGTCTCAGTTGGGACGTGCTGGCCGAGGCCGACAAGGTCATGGCCGCCACCGACCCCAGCCACAGGCCGCACGACCCTCTGCTCAGCGTGGCCAGGCTGCAGAGCAGGGCACGCCGGCAGCAAGCGCTGCATCAGCAGCAACAGGAGCAGCACGAGCAGCGGCTCCACGACATCGCGGCCAGCTTGCCGTCCCACCAAGACCTCGGCGTCCTGGACGAGGTAGGTGCTTCCCCTCCTTCCCTTCTTCCTTGATGAGCATTCCCCGGGTGTCACTGATTCCAACCTTGTTCCCGCAGCGCGTGTCGCAGTGGCGCGGCCAGCAGAGGCGACTCATGCTGGAGGTGGCGCGCGCCAGCCGCGAGATCGCCGAGCTGAAGAGGGTCACGGGCAGGGACCGTGGCCGAGGCATCGGCAGCTCAGGGTCGGAGCTGGACAGCAGAGGGCGGGACAGCCGCGCCAGCCGCAACGGGCGCGACAGCCGCGGCAGCAGGGGCAGCAGGGGCAGCAGGGGCAGCAGGGGCAGCAGGGGCAGCCGCGGCACCACACGCAGGCTGCAGACGCTGGACCAGGTGGACGAAGCAGGCGGCCGCAGCTCGCCCAGCTCGGGGCCCGGGCCCGGCCGCTCCGTGCAGTACCTCCACGCTGAGGTGCACGCGCCCCCCTCGTCCTCGGTCACGGCCTCGGCGTACCGGCGCAGCCGCAGCCAGGAGCTGCTCCGCGTCGAGCCCATCGTGGCCGTCTCCCGGTCGCCGACGCCGCCCCCTGGCGTGGGCGGCCACACGTCGCCGTCACCCTCCCATTCGCCCTCGCCGACGCCGTGCTCGCCCGCGGCGCGCGCCTCCCGCTGGCACGGCGTCAGCGTCACGGCGGAGGACATCGAGAACTGGCGCCGGCTGGACCGGCTGCGTGCGCTAGACCTGGACCAGGAGGGTGACCCCGACGGCGGCGGCATGGTCAACAACCCGGACTACGAGGTGCAGGTGGAGGACGGCATCCTGTTCAGCTCGGACCTGCGCGACTTGAGGGAGCTCCGGGAGCTCCGGGAGCTGATGGACCTGCGATTGCCGCCGCTGCCGCAGCCGCAGCAGCCCACGGCGGCCATGCGGGCGCAGCAGAACATGCAGCAGAGCGCCGCGCCTGAGCCCACCTGCAGTGTCAGCAGCATCCCCACGGGACCGAGAGGGCTGTCCAGCGCGCCGCCCCCCGCCGCCGCCGTCCTGCACCCCAAGCCCAAGTTCGCGGCGCCCTTCCACCAGCAAGGGCTTCCAGCGCACAGCCCGCAGGCGCCGCAGGGCCCCAAGGGCGACGTGGTGCCGCTGCCTCGGGGCGCCTCCAGCGCGTCCGCCAACGCGTCCTCCAACGCGTCCGCCAACACGGCCGCCACCGCTGCGCCGGTGCCGCTCAAGCGAGGCGCGCACGTGCCGCTGCGGAAGTCGGTGCACGACATGGTGGCGCGCATCCAGACGCACATGCTCAACAACCTGATGGGGCGGCAGGGCGGCAAGGCCAAGGACCAGCACGGTGACGCCCCCGCCGCCGCCCCCGCCGCCACCACCACCGCCGCCCCCAGGGAGATGGCCATCGACGTGGGCGACTGCGTGCAGGTGCAGGCCCGCCGCGTGCAGGCGTGCCACCAGGACGACGACGACTCCGAGTCCAGCGACGGCGAAGAGATTGGCGCCGTGCCCAGCCCCATGGGCAGCGGCCTTGGCCACGGCCTCGGCCACGGCCCGGACTACGAGAACGTGTCGCGCTGGAGAGAGGAGCGTGACCGCGAGCGGGACCGCGAGCGCCACCTGCAGGTGTCCGATCTGCCCTACCGAAGCCGCACTGCCGTGTACAGCCCGGACGCGGACCCCGACTTCCTCGACATCCCCATGACCAACGGCCACGGCGTCAACGGCCACCCTATCAACGGCCACGCCGTGAACGGCCTCAGCATCAACAGCCGCCCCATCAATGGCCACCCCGTCAAGGTGCTCGGCATCAACGGGCATGTCAACGGCCTCAGTGTCAACGGGCTTCACCAGGAATCGACGGGGATGGTGAACGGTCTGAGGGATGGACCGCACACCCTGGCCCTCGGGCACGCCATGACCCACCCTCTGAACCATCCCCTGGGGCTGGGGCCGCTGGGCCTGCACCACAGCCCCGCGGGCACCCCGGACCTGGAGCTGGAGGTCCACGGCCACCCCCTGGGCCACCCCTTCCACCACCACCACCACCACTACCCCTACTCCGGCAACAGCGGCAGCAACAGCGGGAGCGGCATGTACTCGCCGGACCACGGGGACTCTGGGTACAGCACCAGGCTGGGAGGCAGCTCCAACTCCAAGGGCACGTCGCCATCACTGTCCGGTATGTTCCGTCAAATCCCTCAAAAAATTATAGTATTTCAGATTTTGACTCTTTATTTATTTATTTTGGTTGTTTGTTTCAGGGCTTGACAGCGATGGGCTTCTGCAGAATGCAGCTCCGCGCAGTGCTGCCGCTCTCAACATGGCCAATGCTGCAGCTGCTGCTTTGGTGCACCAGCGACACACGAATGCAAGCCTCGTGTAAATCATGTACTCTTTAGTGTTTTGTAATTGTATTAAAAAAATTGTATAAATGATGCAAACTATTTATGTTGAAAAAAGAATTAACTTGGTGAATAGAGAATTTATGTTGTGATATGTTGTAAATATGTCATTCTATGTCAAACCAACTGCTTCAGATTGTTGGTTTACTGAAGTCTACATTTTAGTAAATAATGTAGCATACAATGGTTTGAAGAAAAATTCAAGCTAGTGCATACCAAAAAACCAGGGCTGTGTTGGTTTGGCAAAGAATGATTTTTGGAAGAAATTCCTTTGAAAATGCTGAGTGCAAATTTTGTTGCCTACATGAATGTAATAATAGTCTTCAATATCTGTAACTATTTTAACTATTGTTGATCATTTCCTTCTCATAAGTTATGTTTAGTGTTGATGTTAAAAGAAAAACGTACAAATAAAGTTTTGCCTCAAGTTAATTTTAAAGACATATAAATTTTAACAATGATACAACTTAAATACACACTTGTTGACTTCTGGAAGAATTCACGACCTTGGCAACCCCTTCCGATAATGTAGTGTGGTATAAGGCTTGACCCATCAGCACATTTGCAGTTCGATCAATCTAGAAAAAGGGTTTGTACAAAAGTTGACGGTTTGGAACTAATGTTGGGTTTCAATTAAAAGGACAGAATTTGTCTCACCTCCACAACAACATAGTCACCAGGCTTAACTATTGATTTTTCCACAGACGACTCAGAGACAGGTATTTCCTCATTAGGAAATATGACTATTACATTGCCATCATTGCGTCCTTTTAAATCTGATCCTCTTTTGCTATTCTGCAAAACAAATAAGCAATTTTTTAAAAAAGTTATAATGGTCCTTAGGTTAAAATAAAAATGGGCATTACAACTTACCCCTTCCACAAGAACTAATTGGTGTTGTCCAATTTTTTCTCTTTTCAGAGCTTGAGATTTAGAATAAAACAAATCAGTCATTTCTTTCAACCGACGTAGTTTGACTTCTTCAGGAACATCATCCTCGTATCTTCTGTGAGCAGTTGTTTTCTAAAAAAATATATTAAAAAATTGGTCTTGTGATTGAGATAAATTTAATACAGTCAAGACAAGTCAATTTTCTTTACTGCCCACCTCTCTCATACTGTAAGCAAAGAGAAATCCAGTTGTGTACGGAACTTGGTCTATTAAACTTAAAGTATCAGCAAATTGTTCTTCGGTTTCACCACAAAAGCCAGCAATAAAATCACTAGAAAATGCTACATCAGGCAAGAAGCTCTGTATGTGATGAATAAGTTCCAGATAGGATTCACGAGAGTATCCTCTTCTCATTCGTTCTAGGACTTCACTATTTCCACTTTGTGCTGGTATGTGCAGAGATGAACAAATATTAGATCGTTCCTGAATCAGATGGAGTACCTAGTAATAAATATAGAAAAGAACAAGGTTGTTACCCACAATAAAAAAGAGAAGATAGTCTGAGGAATTTGTAAACTGACTTACCTCATCGGGAAAATCTTTTGGGTGTGGTGAAGTGAAGCGAATGCGCATTTCCGGATCAATTCTAGAAACTTGATCAAGTAGATCAGCAAAACGAGTTCCACCTTTCTTCGGTTTGTAAACTGTTTTAAATCCTTTTGCAAGATGAGTTGGTTCATCTTTCTCTAGTCCACCATAGTGTGAAACTGCTGATTTATCACAGTAGCTGTTGACATTTTGACCTGAGTTGGATTAGAAGTTTAATTAATTTATGATTTTTCACAAGTGGCACAAAAGTGGTATGAAAAATTGTTTGCTTACCAAGTAGTGTCACTTCCTTTATACCTTGCCCAGACAGATGTCTAACTTCTTCAAGTATAGATTCCATTGGTCTAGATCTCTCTCTACCTCGGGTAAATGGTACAATGCAATAGGTGCACATATTGTCACACCCTCTCATGATTGACCTAGGATAAGAATAAATATATTATAGCATAAAAGAAATAAATTGAAATAAAGCTGTACATCCAATTAAATTAAAATGAGGAACTCACACAAAAGCTGATATTGAGTCTTGATTTAAACGTACAGGCATAATATCAGCATAGGTTTCATCCAGGGACAGTAAAACATTTACAGCCTTCTGATTGTTGTCAGTCAAAGCTAGCAATCTAGGAAGATCTTTATAGCTGTCTGGGCCGGCAACCAGGTCTAGTGATTTCTCCTTATCTAATAAAGACTCTTTCAGTCTCTCTGCCATACAACCTAAACATAGGGAATACGTCATTATAATCTGTTATTAGACTTAACATGTTTAAAAAAAATTACAACTCAATTTACCTAGTATACCAATTCTTAATGGAACTTGGGATTTGGGTCGTTGCTTTTTCAGACCATTGCAATAATCAAGAAAGTGCCAAATTTTAAGCTCAGCTTTCTCTCGAATGGAACATGTCATTGCAAGAATTACATCTGCATCATGAACATTTTCAGTTCGTTCAAATCCTACTCCTTGAAGGATTGACCATACAACCTCCACATCGTTAACATTCATTTGACAACCTTTGACGTGAAAGTAAACTGTAAGGACATTCCAAAAGAGTTATCGGTTAGAAGTGAATGCTCAAATAAATGGTAAGAATACTTGTGAGTGATAGACACACCTTTTCTTCCCATGCCCCCATAACTTCCAGGGGTTAAATAAGGATTCACATCAGAGTCAGTGTTTCCCTCCGGTGCTGCTGTAGCGGCTGAGTTTGCGATGAAATCATGAAGAGACGGGCCACTTTTAAACAGCTCCTTGCCAGACACCTTATTTGCTGGAGCCCCTTGGTCATTATTACATCGTAATGAAGATGTCCAAATACTTTTCTCATACATACATCGCGCACCACGGTGAAGTGCGTTTAAAAAAACTCTTCTAGAACTACTTCTATTTATGAGCCCATCAACTAATTGGAAGGTCACTTTCCGATGCATTTTCTCAATATGTTCATGGACCTTGAATTGAAACAAATATTAAGACAGGACATTCATGAATTCTTAAAAGGACTCAAATACAGAAGGTCAGTAGTTCAAACGTATTACATTAGAGCAAGCAGAACAACAACTTTTCTTCAAAGGGAAACTAACCTAGAAAGCATCACCTAAGATCCGGAAAGTTTTCTTTTAGAGCCACTGACATATAATTTCAGTCTAATGGACCCTTTCTGGGATCTTCTCTCAACATCATACGTAATTCAGGGCGAATCACCATGAATGTTGTCAACAAGCAGAAGATAAATACCACAAAACCACGAAGAAATACAAACTCGTGCCAGCTCGTCCCCCCACCACTAAAGTAGAGTATGTTTTTTTCTGGCAGCAGTCGATCGATGCACTATACCCCCACCAGCGAGTGTTGTGGTGAAGTTTTCAGCCGTCTGTCGTCGGTCGTCTGTCGTCTGCCGTCTGTCGTCTGTCGGTGTCGCTGGCTTTTCGTTTACTCCAATCCTATCATTGTTTATCAGGTTTAACAATAACACAGATTCCAGATCAACCACGACACTACGTACAACAAGCTGTCAGAAGTTAGTGCTGTGGTAAGTCTGTTTTCTATATTTAAGTGTTATGTTCAGGTGTGTTTGTTTCGTTCTAGATCAGTAAAACCTGGTGAAGCCCATTGATATTTTCTGTGCAACAAGTGCAACCTTTACGGCAGATGATATGATTTTTTTCCCTGTCTTGTGATATTCATACGCTAGAAGTGCAGAATGAATGAACTATGTGCCATTGTCTGAAATGTGTTTTTCTCTCTTTTCAGTGACAGGAAGTACTGAAGGAGTTCCTTCACGTTCAAATTTTTGAAATGGGAGACCTCAAACCAAATGATAAGGTCTCATCTTGCAACTTCTTACTTGCTACGGTAAGAGAGAAATTTGCCAAGAAAAAATGTTGCCTTATTTGTTTGAAAGTAGTAGAACCACACAATAGCAGGCAACACAAACAGACTGTCGCACACAAGTTCTTGGTTTGCTGTTCAGAAAGAGAAATATATCCGTATCCTTGTATCGAATGTGAAATGAGATTCTCATCAGAGAGTGACTTGCTTCACCATTCTTTGGATTATATCGCGGAAAATTGGAAAATCAGACATTCAGTCCAGTTTGTTGTTACATGTAGACTGCCTTTTGTAAGTGAAGAAATATTGAACACACACTGTAGCACATCTGTAGAACATGATTTCCGAAGGAAAATGATACTTGAAACAGCAGTCAGAGAATACATGACACGAGATGTGTTGGACATCATTAATTTACCCAAAGTTGCACTTGAAGAATCTATTTTTGACATCAAGTGGTGCTGTATGTGATGTTCAAACAGATCTCAGTACAGATTTACTGTGCACTCCTGTGAATCCACCTGGTCATATGAGTCATTGTTCCATCTGTTCTGTTTCAGTTCCATTAAGTAATATGACTGAACTTATGAAAGGAAGAAACCATATGAAAAATTATGAACCACTGCTTGCTACCGACAGCAAAAGCACCTGTTCCACTGCTTCTGATGGTATTTTGGGCTCTGGTCAAAAGAGTGGTGAACAACTGCGCAGTAAAGGTGCATTTTCAGAAGCAGCTACTGAAGATAAAGTGGAGTTGAAATATTCCACTCCTGCATGCTCTGTCTACTTATCAGACGTATCTGAAGACAAAATAGGACAGCTGTCAATAATCAGAAATAGCAGTGATTACAACGCTGTTGACGAAACTTGTTGTTCTGACTGGGATAATAGTTGCAAAGAAATTGAAACAGCATTAAGAAAGTCCTCTGCCTTAGAACTACCAGACCTCAATAATGTAGCCAACGATGGACTTGAAGAATCTATTCCAAGATCAAGGGGTGCTATATCTGCGGTACCAGAGGATCCTCTAACAAATTGGCTGCTTACACCGACTAAACAGAGTGTCGAAATTGGTTCAATGGATTACTGCTTAGTCTGTTGTGTTCCTATTCCAATGAACAGCATGAGTTTACACTCTAAAGGGAAAAAACATCTTAAAAATTATGAAGCACTGCTTGCTGCTGATTGGAAAAGGACCTATCCGACTTCCTCTAGTGTAATTTTGAGTTCTGGTCAGAAAAATAGTAGTGAAGCTCCATTACGTAGTCTAAATAAATCTTCAGAAACCTTTACAAAGACTGAAGTATTAGCCCTGCAAGATACAGTAAATATAGGAGATTCCACCCTGTCCTGCTTGCAAGAAGAATTTGAAAAAATTAAAATATCTGTTGAGCAAGATCTGAATGATTATGAGCTGGAGTGTGGTACATGTGGGGGAGTGTTTCAAACTTATAACAATGATGTTGACTTATCACTTGACTTGCATGTCCAGAATGATCCGCAACATGCCTTAGCAACAGCAATGCCACTTGACCGAGATGCCAAACAAATGGCTGAGCTTGTCAAGAACCTTGTACCTAGAATCCTTGCACCTAAAAAGCGACCCAGGAAATCAGTTGGTTCCAAAATTTTAGAAGGCAGCGGTAATGGTTCGAAGTGTTGCTTAATTTGCCTTCAAGATATATCCAGTCTGTCCAGCCAGGCAAAAACAAAACACCTGGAAAATTGCGTGAACCCCAACTCTTTAACATTCTTTTGCAAAGTTTGTAGTGAAAGTATGACTCAAGCTCATAAGGGTATGCATCTAGAAAGTAAAGGGCATAAAGCCAAAGCCTCATTGAATTTCTTCTGCTCTATTTGCTCTGAGAATATGACTGCAGGTGAAAAGGAAAATCATCTTATCAGTGAAAGGCACAGAGAAATGGTCGCATCGGATTTCTTCTGTGAAATTTGTGATAAAACAGTACTTGATAAAAAAATGCATAATTTGAAATCCCACAAATTTATGGCTTCATCACGTTTCTTCTGCTATTTGTGTTCTGAGAACATGGATGAATGGGAAAAGGAAAATCATCTTATGAGTGAAAGGCACAGACAAAAGGCAGCATTGTATTTCTTCTGTGAAATTTGTAAGAGGTGGATGGTGAAAGCCAATGAAGAGACTCATATAAAGGGTAAACTCCACAAATCAATGTTATCACGGTTATCACAAGATTTCTTCTGCACTTTCTGTTCTGTGATAATGGCTGAAAAAGACAAGGAATATCATCTTATCGGTGCAAAGCACAGACAGAAGGCGGGAATGACTTTATATTGTGAAATTTGTAAGAAGTGGATGATGGAAGCCAATAAAACTACTCATTTAGAGGGAAGAGAGCACAAAAGAAAGATGGGCACTCCATAGTCATCTGATAAGCCAACAGCACAAAGCAAAACCCTCAAGTCATTTCCTGTAAACTTGTAATGAGAAAAAAAATCTCATTCAACGAGCGTTAATGAAAGCAGATGATACTCGTTTGCTTTTCTTCTACGGGGTAGTATGGGCTCATTCTAAAGATAGTATTTAAAATTGTGTATGAAATTAAATACTTAGACCAATAAAGTCTGTATGTTTAATTACACAATTATGTAGCAATCTTACAAGCATATGATTTTAGTGTAAAAGTATATGTAAAATAAGCATGAATTGTTCTTTAATGAATCTATATTAAATTTTAAAGATTAATTTCTTTCCTGTGACCTTGTTAATTTCTTGTTCCTAAAAAGCGAAGCACATAAATATAAAATGCTGATGTGGCGGATGCTTTGTTATTTACCTGTAGGACGTGTGGACCTGTAAAGACGACCGGATGCTGAACTTTCGAATGACAAAATCCCCGGATTGAAGCTTCGAGTGGTGTTTTGTCGATTGATTTACTGTTTTTCTTTGCCACACATGCATGTTTTGCCCTAAATCATTTATTTTGAATCCGATTCGCTCCCTCGCCAAGTCTCGTCGTCTAGGCCCGCTCGCCTTTGCCCGCGCGAATGCTTTGAGACGACGCGGCACCCGGAGGCCGGAACGAGTCGGAAGCAGTCGCAAGACCGCTGAATCAGACCGGGCAAGATCTTTCGAGGTTTGAGTAGAAGGTGGATATGAAGAAGATTTTCAATGCGGCAGTGTGCATATAAAGCAGGAACAACAACAAATTATCTGTTCTGCATCGTTATGGAAGAGGGAAGTCCTGCCTGACAGCCCGGCGGGTAGTAACCGCTGGAAAAGTAGGGGGGGGGGAGGGGAAGTCCAGAATCCCAAAACCACCCTGCCCACTGGATTCGAGAATTTTCAATGGGGCAACGTTCCAAAGGATTGAAAGTGTACCAACCCCGCGACACCTTCGGCCGGACTGCCACTCCCTCCACTGGCCCTGCAGCGCTGCCTGGCGTCCGCCGCCACCCCGCCGCTACCGCACGGCTACCCTCTGAACCAGATTCAGCCGGCACAGCCCGGCTGGCGTGGTGGCTGGAGCTGCTCGGAGTCTGGGCTTATTGATCTCCCGGGGCCGACTACAGCCTGCTCTGCTACAGGCAGGCCGCGCGCTCCGGACCACCGCGACGGCGCCCACCCCGTCGCCGTCATGTAAAGGGCCGCGGTGGCGGACGGGACGAGCACGTCACCCTGACACGGCCCTCATTTACTGCTCGTTTTGCCGCGAGAAGGGCGAGGCACTCGCTCTGCAGAGGGAGAGAGAGGGCACGGGCTGGCACGCGCGGGAGAGAGAGAGAGAGGGAGAGTCGGTCGGATCAAGAGCGGTCTGGCCGCGGGTGGGTCGATGTGCAGTGTGCAGCGGCCTACGTACTCCTGTACCCAACGTGTCCCTGCCGGGCCGACCGGGCCGGCGGCCAGCCCGGCCCGCCCAGCCCGGCCACCCCGGAGGGGATCTGGGTCACGCAGCCCACCCGCTCCGGGCTCCAGGGGAACACCGGAGCCTGGTGGACCCCACCGCCCCACCTCCACTAGGAAAAAGCGTCCATTCTTCGGTACCAGGACAAGGGCTTGGGGTTGAATAGATGCGTGTAGCTCACTATTGGGCTGGGCGTAAAACTTTTGCCGTATAGCATTCTCTAATTCCCTGTATTTTTGTCACACTTAAAATGTAATTTTTATTCATGTTGGCGTGTGGAAGGGTGATCGTATCGAAGTGAGTGGCCCTCCCCAGTAAAAACGGCGAGTGCGATATTGCACGCCAGGCAGCCCTTTCGCTTGACGGGCTGCGTTGGTCGAGGTCGAGGTCACCATGCCCTGGGCCACGCTCGCCCGCCCCGCTTGCCTAGGCTGTCTGGGCTGGCACGGCACGCTCGCCATTCACGAAAACGCACCCCTTTGTCCGCTTTCGCGAGCCCGAACGGCGCGGAATGAAATGAATCGGAATGAAACGCTGTGCGGCATTGAGGAAGTAGTGCTGCCGGCCGAGCGGCACCGAGTCAATGGAGAGGAACATGAACTTCGAGTGCATGGAAGGAGGTCCCAGCAGGGGCAGAACGTCGCATTAGGGCAATTTGGTGCTTGGGGCTCTGTTGCACTGGTGGGTGCTCGAGTGAATGAGATGGAAAGCGACTTCATGGACGACATGACCACCACCATTCCGTCGGAGCGGCACAGCCACAGCAAAGGCAGCAGGCATCATGGTGAATGGCTCGTGAAAGTCCATGGCGGCGGTCGGTCTGGTGCTGTCCGGGACTACCCCGCGTTCTAGTGCGTGCGCGACACGCGTGCGGCGATACTCCACGCGTCATCAGCTGGGCGACGGCACGCGCGTGCGCGGCTGCGCGGGGCGCAGGGGGTTTGGGGGCCTGCGCGCCCCTCCCCCGCCGCCCGGGCCCGGCGGTGGGGCCCGTGCCTGTGCCCCAGTGTCGGCCCTGTCGGCGTCGCGCAGCGCGTTCAGTGCTCGCCAGGCAGCCGACCCGATCGCACCGTTCGGATTGCCGCCGCTCGCCTTCCGCCACTCTCGCGGATACTCGCAGCCCTCGCGGATACTCAGCGCCACCAGGCCCTCCCCGCACCGACTCGCCCGCCAACCAGGACAGGTGAGCACCGGGACGCCGTCTTCAGACTCTGCCCCGCGGTCCGGGCTCATTTCACATTTCAACCCCCGGCGGCGCGGCCATGGCGCGGCCGTGCGTCCATCCGGGTGGGGGAGGGGGAGGGTCGGCGGCCACGCGCACTCGCAGCGTTGTTTGGGGTGAAGGACCTCCGCCGGGTCACCCCCATCCCCGTCTCCATCCCCTGGCGCTGCCGCGGCGCTGCTGCTGTACTCGCCAGCCCAACCCCTGGCCGTGGAACCCCTGGAGAACGCCTCTGGAGGAGGGTAAACAAAGCACCGTGCTTCTAATCGACGTCCCAGTGGAGCATGTGGAACGCGGAACGTGCGGGGGGCAAGCAGTGGGGCAAACACTGGAGCGGAAAAAAAACGAAACTTGCACTTGTAACAGGAGAAGCAAGAATCGAAAAGTGTTACGATTAGTTTCGGCTTCCCCTCCCCTCCCCCTCCGCCGCCTTTTCCACCCCGTCGTTGTTATCAGTGGCACTGGAAGGGGGTGTGCACCGCCAGCGCCGCCCCTCCCGCTCGATGGCAGCAGCCCCCTTAGGTCCGCCGTCCCTCCGGCCTCCGGGTTGGGGGAGGGGGAAGGGCTCCGGAAGGACTCGGGGGGGGGGGGGCTCCATTCGGTAACAAAGTGACTGGATCGGCCCGGGCCGGGGTGGCGGTAGGCGGCAGGCCGCTCACCACGCCGTTGTCTTAATCACGGCGTGGCCCGCGGGTCACGGCGCGTCACGGCGCGGTCACGACCGTCGACTGGATCGTGTCACGGCGGCGCCGCGTGCTGCGCGCCGAGCAGTGGGTTGTGTGGCCTGCAGGCTGCACGCAGGCCGCACGCAGCGCGTGGGAGGGGCACGACGGTGGGCGCGGCGGGCGGTGGGTTTGGTGGTTGAACGCGATTTATTGCGAGTTGGCAGCTTTTGATGCCATTAAGATTATGGCGGGCCGAGCCCTCAGCTCCGCGGCTACGCGGCACGCACACACAACAACGACTGCGGTACGGCCCCGCCAGCTAGCCAGGGCACGGCGTCACGCTGCGCGGCCCGTGTACTACAAGGGACCTACGCGCCGAAGCCGACGACGGGTGGGACTGGGTGGGACGCTGGAGCGTTCCGGGACGGCTTGGCTCGGCTTCGCTGCTGCCTGGCTGCGGGCTGCCGGCCGATCCCGCTCCAGGCCCTCCAGGCCCTCCAGGCCAGGGGCCGAGGGGCTGGTGCCAGTGCTCACCCCGCCGCCACTGCGGGGCGGCAGGCTCGCCATAGGCCGTAGCACGGCGGCACGGCACGGCCGGGGCTTGCTCTCCGTCTCCGCGTTAATTGGCCGAGGGAGAGTGGTTTCACTATGCATAATGATTGTGTTATTACATTAGGGTCCCCTGCGGGCCTCCGCCCCAGGGGATCCAGTTCAGACCGCCCGCGCCGCCCCGCGCAGTGGATCGCAACTGCTGTGCCTGCTGTGGCCCGTCCGGGTCGCCAACAGCTAGACCGCCAGCGCTGCAAAAAGGGGAACACTGCAAAACTGTCGTTTTCCTGTGTCCGCCGCGCCCCGCGTGGAGCGTGGCGTCCAAATTGAAAGGCATGTTTTCGCTGCCGGCGCCGAAATGACAAGTGTAGTGCCTGCTAATGGAGCGTTGCGTGCGTGCCGCCGCGCCGTGCCCTGCGTGCCGCGTGCGCCAAGGCGTGCGCCGCGCGACGCGACGCCACAGGCCCGTCCCGCTCTGATTTGCTCGAAACGAGATGTAATGAGACCACTTTGGTGACTGCGTTGACCCGCGGCCCCCTCTCGTCCCCTCCAAGCCGCGCTCCAAGCGCTGCACCGGCCGAGTCCCGCCGCTGGGTCGCCTAGTCGTCCTAGAGGATCCTAGGAGGACGCCGCGCGGCGGTCAGCTCACAGACACACACACAGGCACACACTGAAGCGAGGCACTTCGACGAACCGTCCCTGCCGGGCCTGGCCGGGCCCTGCTCCCCCAGTGTGCGCCACAGTGTTTTGACTCGTGGGCGTCGCCATGGCGTCGCTCGCCCCCTTACTGCCGTCTCGGCCCCCATATTGTCCCTGCCGGTGTTGACCCTCCGTGCTGTTGGCCCGCGCTGTTTGACTTGGACTCAGGTTGCCTGGCGAGGTTGCCTGGCGAGGTTGCCTGGCGAGGTTGCCTGGCGAGGTTGCCTGGCGAGGTTGCCTGGCGAGGTTGCCTGGCGAGGTTGCTTGGCGAGGTTGCCTGGCGAGGTTGCCTGGCGAGGTTGCCTGGCGAGGTTGCCTGGCGAGGTTGCCTGGCGAGGTTGCCTGGCGAGGTTGCCTGGCGAGGTTGCCTGGCGAGGTTGCCTGGCGAGGTTGCCTGGCGAGGTTGCTTGGCGAGGTTGCCTGGCGAGGTTGCCTGGCGAGGTTGCCTGGCGAGGTTGCCTGGCGAGGTTGCTTGGCGAGGTTGCCTGGCGAGGTTGCCTGGCGAGGTTGCTTGGCGAGGTTGCCTGGCGAGGTTGCTTGGCGAGGTTGCTTGGCGAGGTTGCCTGGCGAGGTTGCCTGGCGAGGTTGCTTGGCGAGGTTGCCTGGCGAGGTTGCCTGGCGAGGTTGCCTGGCGAGGTTGCCTGGCGAGGTTGCCTGGCGAGGTTGCCTGGCGAGGTTGCTTGGCGAGGTTGCCTGGGCCGAGGCGGGCCGCAGCTCGCGGCGGCCGAAGGCAAACTCATTCCCATTCATCCATTCCGATTCTGTCTCGCCGCTGTCAGCTTTGGCCGGCTTGGCCCCGAAACCGCCACCGCCCAGCGCCTGCCTAGCGCCTAGCCCTCTCGCCCGCCAGCCGCAGCAGCCCGCTTCAGAGCACTCATTTCCAACGCGAACACCCCACGTCCATGAAACTGCATTTAAAATGTGGGAGCTTTTCGAGCAGTATACTCCTCAAATGAAACTCGAATCAAACTCATGGCGGCACGGAATGCCCTCCGAACGAGGAATCGATTGGTGCCGTCATGTGCCTGAATCGAGTTTAATTCGAAGACGGAGTGCACTTGGGCAGGTCCACCGGTCTGCTAAGTGGCGCCTGCTCTTCGCTCCCGCCTTGCAGCGCCTTGCAGTGGCGTGCACCGCGTCCCGGACAAGTCGTTGCGAGGGCCGGCCACGCCGATGGCCACGCGGCGGGCGGCCGGGCCGTCGGGTCCCCGTCGGGTCCATCGCATTACGCGTTCGCGCCGTTCACCCGGCCGGGCGACGCCGGGCGACGCTGACGCCGGTGACGCACGACGCCGACCCGCCAACCAGCGAAACCAGTTTCAGTTTCTGCCTAGAAAAAAGGAGCGCAAAGTGTACATAGTACGCGCTGTGCGGGGCTGTGCCATGTGCCATGCGCCGTGCGTGCGTGTCGACCTCGTTCCGAGTCCGGGAGTCCGAGCCGAGCTTCCAGCTTCGTGCCCGCGTCCCGCGTCTCACCGGCTCGGCGGACGGCGCGACGCCGCCGCGGCGGAGTTACGGAGTCCTCGGCAATTGCAACAATTGAAGAGGTCGCCAGCGTCCACTAGCGTCCACCAGTGTCCCCGGCCCGACCGCCGAGCCCGCCGGCCGCGCACGGTGGACCTGCAGGGCAGAGCGTGGAGGTGCCGTAGAGCTTGCAGTGTAGGCGCCGTAGGCGCGCTGCGATGCTGTCTTGTCCTCAAATACCTCAAATATAAGATCGTCTGCTTGATTCGAGTCCCACTCGAGGCCGCACTCGGAGTGAGTCAGACCGGCCGACTTTGCGGCGCGGCCAGAGCCCGAGCGCCCGCGGAACCGAGGGTAGCCAGCCCCGCGGGACAGCCGCGCCGAAGGGTTGCCTACCCCGCAGGCGCTCGCCCGCCCTTGACGGCTAGCCCAGCGGTTCTCAACCTTTTTCGTCTTGCGACCCCAAATTTGGGGCCAAAAAATTCCGCGACCCCCGGGAAAATTTTCGCGACCCCACGCGACCCCACCCCCCAAAAATCCCCCCCCCCCCAAAAATAAAAAAGGAAAATATATACATATCAAGCCATTTTTGAAAAAAAAAATTTAATCAACTTCTGAAAAAGAAAAATAGACATTTCTATATCAGGTTTATTGGGATCACAGTTACGATCAGTGGCTGCCTTGGGCCTGGACTTTGGAGACTATCTCGGAGAAGCGCGGTTCGGAGTTCCTCGCCACCGCCACCCGTAGGTCACTCTCCACCTCAAGGCGGTTCCTATGTTTGTCCTTAATGTAGGTCATATCTAAAAATGTCGTCTCTGCTAAGTAGGTGGTCGCAAATGGCAGCAGAACCCGGATGGCTACGGCAGAGACCCTTCCGAGAAGGATTTTCCCGCTTGCTCACGGTGCTTGAAGACCGCCAAACGTCCGTGCAGCGACAAACAAGCAGTGGGTTTTTAAGTTTCCGCGAATTTAAGTTCCCGGCAGTGCTTGGCCTGGCGGCCAGCCGGGAACTCCCCGCGACCCCAGGCGACCCCAGCCACCTCGCCGCGACCCCACAAAAAATTTTCGCGACCCCATTTGGGGTCGCGACCCTAAGGTTGAGAACCGCTGGGCTAGCCTCTCTTTCGGCAGGAGCGCACGTCGGTCTGTCTCTCTCGCACTCTCACGAGTCGGAGAGAGAAACCACCCTCTCAGCCTGCTGCCACGCACTGCCACGGCGCCACGGCCGAGCGGCGCTGATTGTCGCGAGCCTGTTTGCCTCACGATTAAGGCGGCCGTTGCGTCACCGTGACGGCGTGACGGCGACGCGGTCCGCTCCAAGTAGAGCCTCGTCCTGGCCGACCTGGCGGGTAATCCTGCCGCGCCGCGGTCCGCTCCGGCGGCCAGGCTGCCGCTCTTGCCGTTGCCTCGGCTTTTGCTGCCTTTGCTCGGGCCGCTCCGGCGCTCCGCCGCACCGCACAGTGGGCCAGAAGACCGGCGAAGGTGGCCAAAACCCTAGACGCGTTTCGAACTCCAGACTCTCTAGACAGGACTCGAACTGACCGTGTGACTCCACCAATGGATTCCTCGTTCGGAGAGCAA